AATGGCTTATCATAAAACCACTGTCTCCTAGGCTGAAAATGTAGCTGCCTCTCAAACCGTTAAAGTTGAGCTAAGTGGAGAAAGACTCTCCTTTTACTTTTACTTCCTATTTCACTAAATCCAGTGAACCATCATTGCCCATCTCATGCCAAAAATTTACCAAAACTTAGCTTTGAAGAAGCATTTCACCTCTCAGAACATCCTCCAGGGGAAAAACAGAAGAATCTTTACAGAGCTATACAAACATAGCAGCAATTACTGGATCTCAAATTTCTATGCTCAGAGAGGTCTAGGTTTTCAGTTCTTCTATGTCCAAGCTACTAGCCCTAACGACATTTTGACTACTTTCCCCATGAAGGTGGTAAAAGCCTGTAGAGTAGGGGATGAGGAAGCAGATAAGCCTGCAGACTGCTCCTGATGAGCAATATCCAACAAGACAAGCATCCAGGTAATGCAAAACAACCTTGTTTGAGGATCTACCTTGAGAAACATCAAAATATGCAAAGATGAAAAGGAGAGAAGCAGCTCACTCCTTTTGTTTTCTTTAAACTTTGCAAGAAACAGCTAAACTACTGTGTCTATGAAAATAACATTTTCAGTTTTGCCCTCAAATTTAGCTAAGGAAAATTATTCACATAATGAACACAGCTAGATCTCAAGTGCTACAGCTTAGAGAGACCTTTTTTTTTTCCCCCCAGAAGGGATGAGGGTTTTAAGACCTGTACAAATCCACGTGGAAAACTTACCCCAAGACCCACACCTGCTTTGATAACACCATTCACATGGGAGACGACAAGACGTGTTAGCCTTGTGGGCAACCGAGCTCAGTGCAAGGGGACATACAGCTGTGCAACCAGAGCCTGCTCCAAGTCACTATGACTGCATGAGAAAACGGGAAAGAGGTGGCGGGACTTGAAGTCAAAGCATACAAAAGGCATGAGAAACATGAAATGCAGCTGAAGCTGGGTGCCGAAGTTTTTTTTCATTCTCTCATTGACGGAAAACTAACAGCCACTCCCTTGATTTTGATAGCAAGCATGGAGGGCAAGAGGAGGAAGCTGCACAGATACTACCTGAAAAAATATGATAATTAGATAACACTAAATGCTGGGGAAATCCATGTGTGTGTGTCTGTCAGTGGGTGGGTGGGTGGATGCATGCAATTGCATCTACAAACACGTCAGACAATCTGTTCATGTATTACAGCTTCTCAATCTGTCCTAAGTGGACGTGACAATAAATTGTGAGGGCACTATATCTACCATATCATTCAGTGCCTACAAACAGGTGTTTTCCATTGGCTTCAATTTACATAATCATGTAGCAGCTAATGTTCAATACCCACAGTAGACAGCAAATGATATCTTTGATTTTTTTCTTTGATATAATAATTTTGGAGTAAACAACCATTTGTTCCTCTTTCTTTTCCAGTGTAAAGATAGTCACATATTTATCGATAGAGGAGAAAGTTCTCAAGTGGCTCAGGCAGGTGCAGCTTGTGGACTGCATATAGACATGATCGACCCAGATGTTTTCTGATAGACAACCGACACAGCTGGGCAAGGCTGGCAGGACCTGGAAAAAAAAAAGGCAAAGACAAGCACCCCCACCACCCATATGAGTCAGAACGCAAGTAAGAAACAGAAGCAAAGTTTGAAAATCAGATCAAGCACTACCCTTGCGTATGCAAATGCACTTTCAATGACTTGCATAAGTCAAGGATAGCTAAATACCTAAATACACTGTTGTTCATATTTGACTTATTTTTGTAGGAACTGGTTCATCAGTTTGAAAACAATGAGCACGAAAAGCATTTTTCTGCATGCACAGCTGGACTTTTCTGCTTCTCTTCTTAAGCAAACACTTAAAACGGCATAAAGATGCTCACACTGGAGACAGAGCGCCAGGAGGCGTAGCCCTTGCCCCAGAAATGAGAGAACTTCCAGCAGTGTTGTGAGGAGAAAAGCAAGACGGATCATGAGGAGCAGCAGAGGTGCTCAGCATAGACCAGCCATCTTATGGTGGCTATAGTGAATATAGTTAGTCGTTCACACATATAGTACATGCAGCTGCTTCTTCCAACAGCTAGTGTCTCTGCAGGCGCCTGCACAAATAGTGATTGCAGCTTAGCCTGTTCACAGGACCGCACTGTCTCTGAATATTTGCATATGTCAGTTTATCATCAGTGCTCCCCAAAAATCACTTTTTATTGCTTTGTCCAATTTAATTTATTCCAACCGAGGGGAAAAGGCTTCAAAGATAATTAGTTCTGCAAAGTTTGGTGTGAAAAGGCACCGGGGTTAAAAAAAAGGGGGAGAGAAAGAGGGAGGGAGAGAGAGGCCCTGTTGCCCTTCTCTTGCCCTGAGAAAAAAAAGGTTGCAGCTTGTAATAAACTCTTGTTAGACATCAGAGAAGCCACTGGTAAGCAAGCTGCCAGAGGACTCATCTGTGTAATGACAAGGAAAGCTGCAGCAGTCATCTGCACTTTACTGCACCCCAAGGGTGCTGGGTAGCTGGCTTCCCTGATGGGGATGAGGCAGGTGCTCCCAGCCCAACCTGGTGCAGGTCAGATGAAAGCCACTCAAGGCACAAACTCACTGGAAATGAATATTCATTACTTCTAGTGCTTCAGCAGTAGTGTGCTTGCACAGGCAAATGCAATTTGCTGGTGAATATATTTCTCTTCCCTTTCCCTCTCCTCCCCTCTCCATGCTTCATTTTCTTCCTGCTAGAGCTATAAAGCTGATTCTTTATATCAGCTTGGAGATGTTTGGTTTTTGAGCCCTGGCTCAGTCCCTGGGCTTCTGGCCAAGCACTCTCTGTCACAGCAATGTCTGAAAGCACAGGTTGGGGAGATATGCTTAAAAGCCTGTTCTTACATCTTCCAGGTAAGCTTCACCAAACTGAGCTTTTACTGCAGGACTCCTATTTAGGAGCCTAAATAGGCTGATAATGGCCCCTGAGAAGAAATTAATGGAAAAATAATGAAGGGATAGATAGAAAAAAGCACTTGTACTGCTGTCACTGAGGCTGAAGTAAGAAGCTATCTCCTTAAGCAGTTAGGAAAACAGTAACGTTTGACATTTCACATTGCATAATAGCCAGGAAGAGTAACAATTAAAGGGAGACATCTAAGCAACTACAGCAGAAAAATTAGGAGGTAGAGAGAAAACTCCTCAAGAGAAGACCCTAGGGTGCTTATTTCAAAGAGAAGGTTCTCAGAAAACACAGATTAAGTAGAGAAAATGTTCAGTTGTAGACGTAAGATACAGCAAAGGATCTGAAAGCAGGACTGAAGGGGTATGTGAGTTAATTCAGATACTGAGGAAACTTCATTTCTGAAAAGTAAAGAGCCAAAATTACAGTGCCCTATAGTCCACCTGCCTGTAAAGGAGAAGAGGGTCGAAAGCTGAAAGTAGAAATCAAAAGAAAGCTCATTACGAGAAAATTATTAATACTGGAAGATTTCTTTATCTATAAAAACTGACTTCTGCAAGCTCTGCCTTTGCTAAAGCAGCCTACATGCTCAGCCCTGAGCATGTCACATACTGTGACAAAAGTCAAAAGAGGTGAAAAACATTTAGGCAAAAGTCCTCCAGACAGGTTTTAGTCACGATACATTAAAGTTCTGCACAAAATGCAATGGAAAAAGGGAATGGGATGGAAGATATTAAGCCCTGCAAAACCCACCTGCATGCAGAGGGCCAGCACCAAGCCTATGCATTGCACTGACAGTTTACCATCCACGTTATTTTCCACCACTAGCCTGCTCTGGGCTCTCTGTGCACACTGCATCTCATTCCCCTGCGCTAGGGAGCCAGCAGGGCCTGGGCAGGCTGCCCGCAGCGGGCAAGGAGCGTTCATCCCCTCCTGGGTTGGCGAAACACCAACTAGGGGTACAACTGAGCTGGGAAACAGGGAGGTTAGAGGAGGAGGTAGTTAAGCCACCATGTCCATGCCTCAGAGATGTCATTGCCAGGCATCAAGTTTTGGCTGTACATAGTATAAAAAAACAAAAAAAAACCCCAAACAACAGGTGAAAATCATATAAGGAGATCTATATTCATTTCCACTCAGGATTTTCTTCCAAATGGACAGGAAAGGCCACTAGAAATGTCATAGAGAGGCTGAAAGTGACCTGCAAAGGGCACTGCTGGTTCATGCTTGGATTGCAGCCCCAAAATCTGCATGCAAGAGCTGTGCGCTGCAGAAGCTGAAGAGCCACATAGCAACTAGCGCCACTTTTTCCCCATGACCAAGTGCACACACATGTATTTCACTTTTTCTGCAGGAAACTGGGCAGTGAGCCATGGAGCCAAGATGAACACAAGATGGTGCTACTAAAATAGCTTTCATAATGCCAATAAATAAACGCTCACAGCAGTTTTAATCCTTAGTCCCTTGAGTCCCTATAGGTAAATAAGTATAATTTTCCGTTAGTAAATGGGAAACAAATGTACAGAACAACTGACCAACATGCCCACTAACATTCAAATATTTGGTAGCAGATCTAGCAACAAAGCAGAGATCTCTTACTCATTTCTCTGTCGCATGCTCTAGGCTTGAAGTTGGTAGAGAAGCTAGGAGAACTTACACAGAGCAGTACATGGAGAAGCAGTTAAGAGCAAGTACTTAGGTAAAGGAAATAAGTACTGTTGTATTTTAAAAAAGAGAATAAGAAAAGGAATCATTACCTTCCCGAAGCAAAAGCGCCTGTGCCACTTTGCTGTTGGGTACAGCAACATCCAATGCACATTTGAAATCAGCATTTCTGCATTTCAGGCAAGCACCATAGTCGGTCAGCAAGATGACTACTTCCACATTGGATTTCCTCGCTGCAGCATGAAGAGGGGTATCCAGTCGCTTACCCACATTAACGTTGGCTCCTTAGGTGAACATGAGTGCATAGTTAGTGCTGGGAGGAAGCAGGAACTGTTTGAATCAATGACCTGCATCACACGTGCTGGTCTCAATAAACGAAAGAGGTCGCTGGTACAAGCCTCCCTCCTTTCTCTCAAAAAAAGCAATGCTAAATTCAGCAAGCCAGATATCTGCTGCATAAATGTCTGTTGAATGACCAGTTGCTGTCTGAGATGGACAGAACTGAGCAAGCCCGGAAATTCTTTGACTGTCAACGCAACAGAAGTTTGCAGTCTATCATATGTTATGTAAATTTGTTAAAATCATAAAATCTAACATAAATTGTGTTATGCGGAGAAAAACACACTTTATGTATCTCATTATAATAACTTTGGGAGCACAATAAGCAAAATGCTTGCCCTGGGCTTGCCATGCACAGCAGGACCATACAGCTAGCAGGTGTAAATTAGCAAATGTACACTGGCAGCAAGAATTTACACTAACTCCCACATTGTGCCTGGGCCTAGAGGGATTAGCCTTTTGAGTGTCTTTACTGCTATCTTTCACCATCTGAGAAGTAGAAGAAGTTAACACTTTGCATGGCAGTTTATCATAATCGAAAGAGTTTGTTTTGGTCACTGATACTAGCCAATATTGTCTATGCTTCCTGTCACCGATCTGGAAGACTAAAACTCTATCTTTGTTTCAAATTCAGACATGCTGTGTTTCAGGTAAGTCTCTCTAATTAGTGATTCTTTTACTAAAGATTTCCTACATTCTTCATGAATGTAGGTGAAATTTTTAATTATCTGAAACGAGTGCCACAGATTCAGGCTGTCCAAAGAACTCTTATGAAAAGAATCTGCAATGTTTGCAGTGAGGAGGCAACCCAGAGAAACCAGCAGCGCTGGCTCATGCCACAGCAGCTCTCCCCTGACCCCCCTTCCCAGGTGTACCTAGCTCTAAAAGCTTCTTGACACAGTCTGTCCTCTGGTACGTGCAAGCCACATAAAGAGGTGTCCCGTGCTGCAGATCTTCTTGGTCGATGTCCACCTCCTGGGTCAGAAGGATTTCCATGCACTCCCTGTGACCTGCGCGGTGAAGAAGAGCACCCAGATACAGTCCACAGGCACAAGCATGTTTATCCCTACTGTACAAGATCTCGGCAGAAAAATATTATAATGTCTTTCAAGTCAAAAATATATATATTCCTGATTTAGTTATCATTAGCCTCACTCAAAGCCTGAACGTTACCTCTCTTTACTGCTTCATGAATAGGCGAAGCAAGGTGATTCCCGAGCTGTGGCTTGGCTCCATATTCGAGCAGCATGTTGACACAAGCCACACTGCCACTGCAGCAGGCATTAAACAGAGGTGTGATCCCATCAACAGTGACTGCATTGACCTGAAACAGAAAAACACTCTTATAAAAACAACAAAAGGCAGGCATTTTCAGCACGCATCACCACTTTACTAGAAACACACCAAACGGGATACCTGTCTTGCTTATTTTCAGAACAGATTTCAGAGTTATATGTTCTTCTCCAAGGTCTGCCTGGTTTCTCAGAAAGCTAGTTCCATAAGGGGATAACACTGACTACTGTAAGTGCTCCTCCTAGAGTTGCTCAGAAAATGTAAATTCTTTTTTTCCATGGAGAACTTAGGTATATTCATGATTGTTTAGTCTGGACCAATCCAAAGCCACAATGCAATCTTGTTTTCAGACAAAAATGGTTCTGCTTTTCTAATGAAACATATACTTCATGTTCACATACTTTTACCTGAAAACACATTTCCAACAACAAAAAAAATCACAGAAACAGTCTTAAACAGAAATGGAGCTTGCAAGGGTTTGTCTTCATATGCATATGTGTGCTGGTGTGTGTCAGAGGGAAAGAATGTCCTTCCTTGACCTCTGGTATAAAGATCTGACAAAAAACACCGTTCGTCATTCCCTACTGGGACAGCACAGTCCGTGGGGTTGTGCTGTACACAGCACCAGCTACTAAGTTTAACTACGCAGCAAGCCCTCGGAGGCAATTTATGCAATAAATTTGTATTTCTTTAATTCCATAGCAAATTGAAAAAGGGTGGCAGATTCTGAAACCACACGGCAATTTGTGTGAGAGTAAGAAAGAGACCAGAAAGGGCTAGAGGAGCCTTGGGCCACCAGGGAAATCTGCTGCTGCCGGAGCTTGCTACCAGCCAAAGCACAGCCCCGCAAAAGGGCTGGGAGCATCAGGGCAGAAATACATTAGCTGGTACATTTTAATTAGCAAGGTGTTTTGCCTTTCATGTGGAGAAAGGCAGTGATGTTTAAAAGCCTATTAATTTATTCCAGCGAATTCAGCAAGAGACCATAAGCAGTGGATACCTTTCTAAATATCATCTGCCCTTGTTTTTTTCCAACTGCTGAATTGTATCTGATGCTGTTTTAACTCTGTGTTAGCTCTTTTTCTTACAAAGTGCTTTTTCCACAATTATAAATCAGTCCTTGCCATTTTCAGTGCAGGGCAATGCAGCTGGCTCCAACAGGGCATACGAAGTACGTTAACCAGGACGAGCAAATGTCCCCACACCTGAAGTTGCGGCTACATATTTCAGTAGCTACACTGGTTTAGTTGGTCCCTACCTCTGTGCGCTTGCTCAGCGTCATAGAAAAACAGTTCAGGGAACAGATCTGGCTGGAAAATAAATATGGCAGGGTCAGGAGCTGAATAAACTGGCATCGTATGGGGAGACCCAGGGCCCACAGCGTGGGGTACGTCTGTCTGCTCAGATTCAGGGGCTATCTCTATTTCAGACAGGTTTCATGCTGCAGTCTAACAGCTGTTGGCACACACACGCAGTTGCATGAGGCAGATGTGGCTGGAGCTGCTGGAGGCACTGGAGACCTATCAGCATCATTTTACAGCAGGGCCATCAATTCAGCCCAACTGTTATCGGAGGGTAAGCGAGAAGATAAGTAAAGAAGAAAAATGACTTATTTGGTTTGCCTCTCCACTGGGCATGGATTTAACTGGTAAAAGAGGAAAAAGTGATAAGAGAGCTGCTCTGGAGTAAACGGTTTGGTAAAAAAGGAAATAAAGAAGAACACAGCAATAAAGCAGAGCAGCACAATGGTACACTTCCTCCTAGACACTAGATGACTACCTCCTGATGGAGAACAGAGAAGAACAACAAGAAAAGGAAAAAAAAAAGAAAAAAGCCAATCACTGGATCTATATATTATACCAGAAATGAGCTGACTTCTCAGGAAAGTAACAGGTAATTCAGAGATTCTCTGAGTTCTAAGCAGATATCACCATTAGTACACCAAAATCGTGTAACTCTGAGCATACAGAAGGACTTTTTCCTATTTTTAAGCGACTGAAATTTGACACATAGAATAGGAAGTTAGTAAATGTATTTTCTTCTGCAAAGTGTAGCTTGATTGCCTGTTCTGGTGTTACTGTTTCTTGCCATGTAAATTGTACTTGAAAATCCTGTAACCCAGCTGAGTGAAATATATTCGGATATATTTCATCCTATTCCTGCATCTCCATTTTTACTATATATTTTACCTTAGGTCCGACTGGGGGAAATGCTGTTATTTTATTAACAAATAAAATGTTTCATTGCTTTAAGCACATCCACTTTCATTTATGTGGGACTCCCAAACTATTCCACAGAAAACCAAGGGCAATTCCAGTGATGGTGCCAGGAAAAAAAAAAAAAAAGTGAGGGGGGGATAAGGGATTATCTTTCAGGTTATTTCAATGTAGTTTCCCCATTCTTTTTCCATCAATTACGATTATGTTTCACAGAAGTGAAAGAGAAAAGAATAATTCAGTGACCGAAGCAGCCACTGGAGGAAGGCAAGTCTATTATCCTTGAAAACAAAGCACTGGGGTTTTTTTCCCCTCTTTTTTGTGCCTAAATGTTTCTGTTTGTCTGACAGACTGACTCTGTCTCGCGTACAGCTCTTTTGCGAATCTCAGCTGATGCCAAATTTAGGGAGGACCCTGGCCCCTTGGAGGTGACCACAGTGCCGCTCGCGGTCCCAGGACTCACGTGAGCGCCGTTCTCCAGCAGCACCTTTGCGCAGGCCACGTGGCCGCCCAGGCAGGCCTCGTGGAGAGCCGAAACCCGATCGGTTGTCAGGAGGTTCACGTTGAATCCCTGGAATTCAGAGCACAGCCGTGAGGGAAAAGCCCTCCCCAGGCCAAGCGACTCCTCCCCGTGTCTGCCCAGATGTAAAGGACTGTCGGAAGATGCCTGGCTCTGCCCACACCACTGGGTAAACATCTAGGGAACGTGCCTGATTGGACTATTGCTTTTTCGTGCTTCAAGGTTTGTCTCCAAATGTTTTCACTGGAGATGGAATTAAAGAAGCAGCAATGAACTATGTCTCTTAACTCTTTATAATGCATAGTTAATCACAGGAAAGACATTACATTTCTTTAGCCTACAAGGGTGACATTAACTTTCCTTTTACTAGATACGCAAAAGGGGCTGTCGTTTTGTCCAAAGCTACACGTATTAGCTGCATATTCAGCACTGTTGTCAGGAGTGGTGCTGGTTTCCTGAGTCACAGGTGGTGGGATTCACCTCACTTATCTGTACCTGGACATCTCCAGAGCAGATATCAGCTGCCAAGCTGGACACCTTAGCTCCTTCGGTGGAGAAATAGGCACCTTTAGGATATGACTCATCTCATGCTAAAGAATATATCTCAAACAGGTCAGATGAATTCTATCCTAAAAATACTTCCACTGACTACACGGGGTACCTAGCGTGTTTCACTCAGACATAGTAAGTACCTGGTAGATCTGTAGAGCAGATAAGAGAAATCCCACCCACAAAGCTGTTTCTTTTATACAACTACCTACGAAATGTTTTACACTGGAAGAAAAGAACTATCATTTATAAATGCCTCACTATAGGCATTTCCCCAAATAACTGTTCTTACACCTGTTCCTGTAAAAACACAAACCAGACATAATGGCAAAGGAGAAAGAGGCTGTCATATATGGTGTCTCCAGAATGCAGCTAAATCTCTTGGTAAGTAAGGTTTCACAATCTTGTGTGAGAACAGGCTTGGAAGCAGCTCTGTTTTACATTTGAAGTCTTAAATTTTATCATATAGTTCCTTCCTATTTAACATGCTATAAACTAGGCAGCTCACCAGATGGCAGCAATGCACTTTTTTGTATGCAGTAGCAAATACTATCTATTGAAATAAATATCCATGTAACGCTGTAAAATCCTGATGCAAAGAGCATTAAAAGTAAACTACTCTAATCATTTTAAGATAGAAATTTTAGGTTAGAAAAATGATCATTTTTCAGTAACAGGAAAGTATTATTGAAATAAAAGCTGTCCCAGGAATTATTCTGTACATTATATCAATGCTAGGGGAATAGATAAAATCTTGAACAATTTTTGAGAATATTCCATTTTGTAATTTTATAGACTTTTTACATTTACTGATCAGTATATTTCTTCAAGAGGAATGTCTTCTAGAGACTTCTGATGAGAAGAAGAAGGCTATACTTAATCATTATTCAGATATACATTTAATATATGAAACTTGGTTATTGCAAATGAAAGAGTAAGTACTGATATATTGGGGAAAACATTAAATCATTCCATTACTTGGTGGAGATGGAGTTATAGATCTTACTATAATCTGTACCAAAATTGCTCATTTTAAGCCTTGTTTCCAGATGATTATAAATTTTTGCCAAGCTATCAGAAAAATCAAACACTTCTTTTGGTGCTGAAACAGGCACTGGTGAATTCTTGAGCTCTTTTAAATGCCAATGCTCGGTTTCTTACCTACACAAATAGCCCTCCCATTTCAAGGCATCCCTTTTGCAGCAGAAGCCTTACTGGCTTTCCTTGAAAGCTGTGGTCCTAAGGCATGGACTTCTGCATGTCCCATATATACCTTAAAGTATAGCTCTATATTTAATTTAGGCTAATAGTGTAAGTATCTTAGAAACAGTGAGCAAAGACTATGCTGCTCCATGAACAGCTTCATTCCTACATTTATCAAACTGCTGTAGATCAGCTCCAATATACTCTCTACAGATATTGCTGCCTATTTTCATCAGCAAGGGCCCCCAACCTTCACTCCTAAAATTGTTGTCTTTGAGATAAGGAGAAAGACTAAATGAACTAAACTATGTTGAACCACAACCCTGGTTTCTGCTCTTCCTTTTTCCCAGCTACCTTCCAAGTCAGACTGTGCATTTTCTGCAAAGCATGTAGCAGAACATGTACAAATGCACGATGGGCAAATACTATGGGGAGGTACTGGCCTCAAGCGAAGGCACCTTGGTCCTGTCCCATTTCAATGCCTCACTGGTCCCAGTGGTATCAAGGCACCTTTGGCATGTACAGGCATTTATTGCCACCCAGCGGCATGTTTAAGGAAACACAGAAATGGATGGCTCTAGAGTCCCGCAGCGCCCGCTAGCCGCCCCTCACTAATTAGATGGTGTAAAGTTATTAGTATAAATGGAAATGGAGGAGGGGGTGAGAAAGCCAGTAAAGTCCTGAGCAAATGACCCCTCTTCATCCTTATGCCTAACCTCCATCACTTCCTTTTCCATAAAAATCACTTGATGTCAGAGGGCGAGGGAAAGGAGGATGAGGAAATGGGAGAGGGAAAACTGGTTGTAAACAGCAACATTTTTAGCAGTGACCGTGCCTTGACAAATGTCTGGTGTGGAGGATTTTACACTGGCAGCTCCAGGACTCCTCCAGGATGCTGTCCTCTTGAGATGCTGGCTTCGCCTATGCAAGCCAACCATCACTGGTAAAAACTATTGGACAAAATCAGCACTGGTAAAAATTATTTACTTCAGGTACAAACAGTCTGACTGCAAGGTTACAAAACTTACACTTAGGGAATTAATTTCATGGCATTTATCTTCTGTTTTATGGGGGAAAGGAGGGTATACTCATTTGTGTCAGATCAGGGCACTAGGTTTAAGGAAAGGTGATAAGGAGGATGACTGGCAAAGCACAAAGAGCCATAACCTGTTCCTTTGCAGCTACTCATTTTTACGTCCAACTTCTTGTCCTTCCTAATCTACCCTTTCCTCCTCTCTTTCTGTTTTATGAATGCTTGGTTTCATTCAGAGTAGAATGAATGAATGAATGAATTCATTCGTCAGGCTGACAAATTTCTCTTTAGGAAGACCATGCTTGCCATCCTATAAAGCAACACATACGTTTACAGCTTTATACTGATTTTTAGTAAGAGCTGATACATATATTGTTTCTTTTTTCCTGAAGTCTAGCTTGCACTCTTTATCCTTGAAAAAGAGCCCAAGGATCACTGCTGATTATACAGAAAGCTGCAAGCTACAGCCTCTGTTCTAGGCTTGTCCCCAACAGCTTACCTAAGCAAACCAGTACATGCCCAAAGGTATGCAGGTGAATATATTCCTTCATATTCATCTATATATTCAGCATCTGCCTTTCTTATGCCCTGCTGCCATCTGTTATCGAGTCACCTCTTTACAGGTACAGTCTAACAGAAACTACGCTGCTGCCCAACCTTTTCTTTGCCTGAGGGCTTTTACCTGTGCAATCAAGGTTTTCAAAGACAGGAGGCGTCCTTGGAAGGCAGCATCATGTAGTGGCGACCTGTCTGCCCAGCTGCCTAAAAGAAGCAGATTAATACACGTCAATTCAAGCATATAATGCAAGTGAGATCCTGGGAGCACTGAGGAAACACTTCTGTGTGCAAATGCAGGCTGGGCCTGCAACCGACGCAGTGTCAGCGGTGAAACTGTTTGATAAATTGATTTCAGCAGAGCAGCCAGAGGCTCAGCGCTTTTGAGAAAGCAGGCCACTTGTTAAGGGACCTAAACAACAGCTTGTGGGCAGAACTTTTGAAGGCAGTTCAAACCACTCTTCAGCAAAGACCACAAGTTTAATGCTGCTGAGACTTGCCAAGGGACTTCAGAACCCTGCAAGCCTCATTTTTCAGTATCTCAGCCTCCATCTTTTCCAGGGAGCTTTTGCCACAAATCATTTTCGAGCTTCTCTTACACTTTATTAAGAGACCCATAGCGGGCGGATACTGCGATGGCTTGTCCATCAAATAAATTCTAGCATGTCCTTGGCAGTTTTATTTCCTGAACCGACAATTTCATAAATAACATCCTCCAATTCAGACTAGCAGGTAACAGGTCTCATCCTCCTACTCATTTGAAGATTTCAGAAAAAAAGCATGAAAAAATAAATTCTGCCTGAGGTTTCGCTTCTCTTTCCTTAATCATTTTGAACTGCTAAACTGCGCAGACTCCTTAGCGCAGGCTAGCTTAATCTTTTTCTTCTCTTAATCTAATTCATATGCCATGAAAAGTTTTTCCCTTAAGCTAGCTACTACCTACATTTACAGTCAGTGAGCCAACATTAAATGTCTGCAAGTCCAGTGGAGAGCAAATGTACTTGTCGTATACTAACATTTAAAACCATAATGCAGCACAGCATATAGTAAATATTTCTCCAAGGGCTAGTTGCACTTACAGTGCAATAGGGCAGAAGCAATATCAGTATTTGCATTCATGCTCTGTTATATAGGAACCCCATGAGCATAATATCTGAACCCCATGTCCTCTTTAATATTTTCAGCTACGCAACACAGCAGAGAGAACACAAAGTGTGATTCATCTCCATTTCCCACGTTCACGTGCAAAGAGAAATCAATGAGAGGCACTGAAACATCCCTGGAGGCTTCCAGCCAAGGACACAGGAGGTCAAAGGAGCCCTCATCTAGCAGCTAGTGGTGATGCTCGAGAAGCCCCATTATCCAAACGGCACCCAGGTGAGAAGGAGCCAGGCAAACCAAGAGGCCTGAGTCAACCATGTCCAGGGACCGCAGCACAGGCAAGGGCAGAGAAAGGAGTCATCACAGTCGTGTTTAAGTGGCTGTTTACAGAGTTATAGGAAAAAGAGGCAGGGCAGATCCAAACGACCTAGCCCATAATCTGGTTTTGAGGCAGCGCTGCTCCCTGTGTTCGGTTGCCCCCATGGTAGGTGTTACTGGGTTTTGGCGGTCCTTGGCCCCCTCGCAGTGTGTGCAGCGAGACAAGACAGCAGGTAAGAGCAGGCAGCGTTGCTGCCCGGGCTGCGTGTACTGGCTGGCCTGTTGCATGGCCACAGGGGATTTTTCCCAGTCCCCCCACTCCTACCTCTTTGCCTCCTGAAATATTTGGCATACTTACCAGACACATGTACACACACGAAATATATAAAAGCTGGAAGTGAGCTTACTGCCACTTCCTTGTTCCCCCAAATATGTGTCAGAATGGCAGAATAAAGAAGGAAAAACAGAATTATGAACTCAGAAAGCGCTCAGGTAAGGCTGGAGAGCGGGGCTCCCTCAAAACAATAACCACAGCTTTAACATTGCTTTTGTAGAGCTGCATTCCTGGGGAAAAACACAAAGCACTGCAAATGTTTTTAAACTTGTGGGAGCTTTTCTGTGACATTAGTAACACTGTGTGGCTCAACAGCCTGCTATTTCTCATCAAGTACCTTCCCTTCGTTAGCCTCGGACTGGGATTCACTTGAACTCATGGGGTTACAGTTTTAAATATAGTTATTACTTTTATTTCTAGTTATTTAAGGAGACGTTTCTTGGCCTCCTAAGGCAGGAAGCTGGGCACGGAAAGACTAGCTGACACAGCATGTGACCTGGCTCCTGGGGAAAAAGTAAAATCACCAGGCGAAATGAGTGGAAACGGGAACCAGGTAGGGACCGAGAGGGCTTGTTTCACAAGCCTAGGACTAGAAGGTAAGGTGCGGAGGGGAAAAACAGAAACATTTACTTGAAAGCATCCAGAAACCTCCACGTCCCTCCTGTTGCTGGCAGCTGAAATAGGCAAATGCAGTTCAAAAAGTCTGGCGATTGATAACATTGTTAAGTGACTAAAAATTGGGCCTTACAGCAGGAAGATAGAGAGGTAACTTAGATGATAAAGCTACTGTGCCTTATTTGAACTCTTATGCATGCTAAATAGTACAAACAAACTCATTTCACATGCATTTACAATGCATGTGCACGCACATGCATGCCTCACCATGAAAATACATGCTGGTGTCATGCTAGCCACAGCAACCTACCTCCCTGAAACATGTGGCAAATGTAGTTCCCATATGGGGCGCATCTCCTTTTCATGGTTATGAGTGATATGTCTGAAAAGATTGTATCTTTTCTAAATTTCTATAGAGAAATGCAGCCTGCTGCTGCTGCGCTACGTCACTGCAAAGAGAAAAGGCTGTGAACCTCCCTCTGAAATCCAATGTAGTGCACAGGCAATAGCATCGCATGACCTTGTGTTTTGAAAGATTATCCTTGATAGCTTTTTGCAAATGGCAGCTTGCAGATAAAAAAGTGTTGTAATCTGCTCAACTTTAAGTCTCTTAGATAAGAATCTGTATGTAGGAAAACCTGCCATTTGTCAAGTGTCTGACTACAGTTGCATGAAGGCACTTAGAGGGGGGGAAAAAAATCCACTAATAAATCATTGGAATTATACTCCAGAGAACAGCAAATAAATTAACAACCCAAAGATAGACATTCCTGTATATAAGTGAGAAATGTTTTGTTGGAGCATTTCTGTTGGCCAGATTTTAATCTTTTTGCTTTTCGTGGCCATCTCACACCAGAAATAGCTCCGCTCGCTTTCATGAGCCTGCTCAGGGTGACACTACTCATCACGAAGCAAGCGTCCAACAGATGAGTCACATAAAAATCAGTGGTGTTACAACACTGATGCAAATCTTCAAGTAGGAAAATATGTTCTCATTAGTACTAAATTTAAAGCACTGTGTCATTTTAATTAGTGGAATTACTGGACATGCTACTGCCTGTCCATTCATTATTATCGCAGTGATGCGTCGGAGGTAAAACCACTTGGAAAAAAAAAAAAGAAATGGCAGCTCTTGTGGCCTATTAAGTACAGTATATTACTGTGCCTTTTATTTTTCAGAATAATTTTAGCTATATTCATTTTTATGGTCTGGTTTAACAAAACAGGGATTCTTGGCTTGGATTCATAAAGTCATTAATCACCTCCTCCTAGTATCTCCTTTCAGAAAATCCACATACTAAAACTTTTCCCTAAATATTCTCTGGTAGTAAGCCTATTTAGTAAATGCTTCTGTAACCCACACAATTAACACTAAAGAATGCCTTGCTTTCTAGAACAATCGTTTTATTTACTGTACCTTCTTGAGCAAATGCCACCCTCTTTCTAGCTGCGTAATTGTTGGAGTCTCATATTTTGCACACCTAAAACACGCCAACACATACTGACACTGCAAAGACCTCAGAAATGGAAGGCGCTTCAGGATAAAACATCTACCTTATGCATTTAGCAATTTTATGGCAACTCAATCATTAAATGCCTCAAATCACAAAAATGTAACAGCAACACATCTGAATGTTAGAGTGACCATATTTTTACTTTACCTGGGACTATTCCATAGATCTCTTCTGCTATCCTGGCAGCCTCTTTTCTGTTGCCTTTAACAATATAGAAATGGGTCAGCAGAGCCAAGGAAATCTTAATTAAAAGCTTGAAGCAAAATAAAGCAAAAATGGCAAAATAAATGTTAGTGAAAGCATGGAGAATAGAGCTGCCCTCCATTTTAGTTTGCTCTTTGAATAGTTTCTCAGGTCTGCTAAGTTGCACTGGGATACTATTGATATCATATGACATCTATTTTAAAACCTTTAGAACTTGCTGTTCCTCAGTTACCAAAAATACATTCTGTTTTTATTTGGGATGGGCTATTTGATACTAAATAACAATACTAAGTATTAAGCTGGTTTTAACATACCATGCCGTACAGGAAACAAACAAAAAATCCACTCCAGACACATCAAGATGCGTGCCTGAATACATTTTCAGATAAAAGCTCCCCATATCACCTGAAAGAAATGAACACTGTATTTATTCTCAGATTCCTCATACAGGAATCAACACAACCAGCACTAGATAGTATGTATGTAAGCAACAAGGAACACCACCTTTTAAGAGAAAGACCACAAAACAGACTTGTAGTTGCAAAGGAGACCCGTTGATCATCCTTCACAATCAGCCTGCTGGAGATTAGGTAGGACTGGACAAGTCCACAACCCTCAGAAAAATACTCAAGAAACTAGAGATCAGACAACTTCCAGTAATATTGTTTTAATTCCTGAAGTAGGATGATAGTCCAAGGGCTGCTCAACTCTAGCTCGTCTGAAACATGATGAAATCTGACCACTTGAAAGCTGTCACAGAAAAACAACTGTCCCAGAAGGACAAAATCCACTTGTGTAATAGCAAAATCAGCTACCTGTCTTCAGACTAGTACAACTAAAAAATTTTAGGTAAATGACGGAGTTATTCTTAAAAGGCTCATGTAATCTCTTATTTTAGTGGAGAAGAAAATTGAGAAAATGACTGAAATGGATGAAAAAGATCATCTATAGGAAGATGGCTGAACAACATGGTGGAAGGATAAGTGATAGCAATATTGAGTGTGATCACCCAGAAACAATTGACATTGCTAAAACTAAACGAAGCTGAGCAAAGAAGCAGTCATGAGAACACATAGAGCAGAATAGAAGAGCAGCAATGAAGTGGAAACAGGAATCTCTTATTTCCTCCTTCGCTCTTCAGCCAAATGAAAATTCTTCAAATTCTTCAACATGAATAAAAACGATGAAAAGATCTCTAACTTTCAAACATGGTTAGGAAATAGCTCTGTTCACTAATGAAAAAAAAAAAAAGCTTTATCGAAAGGAAACACTCACCCTTTTGTGTAGAATCTACATGTTCTGTTTTGAATGGGATGGATTAGGGAACTGATTGATAGGCTACAGGGCTGGAGTGAACAAGTTAACACTAAGAAGAAGAAAAAAACATGTCTTACTGAGAATTTCTGCAGGATGTCTAAACCACTTCATGAATTGCTTTTGGCTAGATTGTAGATTGATTACTAAATTTTTTGGTCAAATCAAAAGTATGCAGAAGAAATGTTAATCCTTCAATAAAGATGTTAAGAGATGGTGAATGAATAGAAGGAGTTCGGCTAAGTCCACCAAACAAATGGGAAGTTAATCCTTAAATATCCTTAATTTACAAATACGCAAGGAATAAGCACAAGAATAAAAGGCAGACCAGCTCAGAAGACAATATGTTTTCATTACAGATCGCCTTAATTTTAGCCAAGCGTGAGTTATGACTCAGATATGACCTGAGGAATTTGGCAAGGAGAGAAAGACTAGCAGGAACCTCCTCTCAGAGAAATTAAAAGAGGTATTGGTCTATTCTTACGTTTAACAGTCCTTGAACTACAGCAGTGTATTTCCTATGCATTTAGCCGAGCGAGTTACAGTATCAAATATATTTAACCAAAGTAAGGTACCTGGAAAAATAAGCAAGTTTTTTGACACAGAAACCATTCATAATCTCTGAGGGAAGAGACCAGAACAAGGATACCTGCTACAGAGCCTATTTTTTCCAACCCTGCTTCCTGTACAAGCTTTATGTCATTTGCATCCTTAGATCAGCACATTTACAACGCTCCTGCTTTTAAAAAGCGATGTGTGTAGTGAGTCATGGGTTGCTCTCAGTTAAGCAGACGTAGATTTCATCTAGTCTAACACATAACCCATCTCACCTCACCCATAACACTGCGTAAGGGCTAGTTATCGAAACTCCTTCTGCTGTCCAGGCATGAAGACTGGAAATTCCAGCACATAATTTGCCACTATCTTGTCTTCAACACCTATGCTAGCGTGGGATGACTCATAATCTCAGTGCATTTTTATCAGTCACTCCTGATTAAACTGTGAGTTTAAATAACTAGCTTGTACTAGATGACCATTTTATACATGGTTAAAGTTATTAAAGTCAGTGAATCCCATAGAAATAGCATTTCATGTTATGTCAGCGTTGAAGCAAGTCAAAACCTGAAAATAATCCAGTCTAGCTGTTAAGTTAAAAAAAAGCATAATTTTAATACAATGATACATTCAGATTTATAATCACATCTTGCCTTTAGTTTTGTTGCCTACACATCCATCTTTATCACCTCATCTAACCCGCCGCCCAAGCAGGGTCACCTAGATTAGAGCAGGTTACTCAAGATGGTGTCCAGTCACCTGTTGAGTATCTCCAAGGATGGATATGCCATAACCTCTCTGGGCAACATCTTCCAGTGTTCAGTCGCCCTCACAGTGAAGATGTGTTTTCTTACGTTCAAGTGGACTTTCCTGTGTTTCAGTTTGTGCCCGTTGCTTCTTGTCCTGTCACTGCGTACCACTGAAAAGAGTGTGCCTCCATCCTCTTTTCACCTGCCTATTAGACATTTATAAACACTGATCAGATCCCCCTTCAGTATTCTCTTCTCCAGACTAAGTAGTTCCAGCTCTCTCAGCCTCTCTTCCTATGACAAGTGCTCCAGCCCCTTAAATCATCTTCGTGGCAATTCGCTGGACTTGCTCCAGTAGCTCCATGTCTCTTGTACTGCAGAGCCCAGACCTGGAACCAGCACTTCAGCTGTGGCCTCAGTAGGGCTGAGCAGAGAGGGGAAGGATCTCTTTCCTTGACCTTTTGGTAACGTTCTGCCTAATGCAGCCTAGGATGCTGGTGGCTGCCTTTGCCATATGGGCACATTGCTGGATCATGTCCAACTTGGTGTCCACCAGGACCCCCCCAGTCCATCTCTGCAAAACCGCTCTCCAGCTAGTCAGCCTCCAGCTGTACTGGTGCAAAGGGTTACTCCTGCCCAGGGACTGAGGTCCCTGTGAATGGCAGCATAACCATCCGCTGTATCAGCCACCACTCCCAGTTTTGTAGCATCTGCAAGCTTGCTGAAGGTACATTCAGTTCCAAACTGACCAGTTATCCAACTCACTAGACCAATACTAGAGTAATTAGAAAAATTGTACAAGTCAAAGGCACTAGTGAATGCCAAAAAGGATGTTAGAAAAATTGTGTTGAGAGTAACTTAATGACATCAAATCATACAACAAATTAAAAAAAATAGGAGAATCTCCTAACAGTTTGTTTGTAAAACCACTTTGGGAATGATTTTTTAAATCTATTTACAGTAAGCCTGTATTTTACTGGATCAGCAGAGAAAGATGTAACATTATAATTATTTGTTTGTAAGTCTAAACATATATGAAAAAGGACTAGACAAATAAATATCAAAAGGGGAAAAATAAGTTTATTTCTAAAAGATGCATAAAAACTTGAGCGCAAAAATAAGTACATTACAGTGTAGTTCTCTTCTAACAGACATATCCACATCCCCTAATACCCCATTTCGAAGATAAATCTTTTATTCATACTTTACATGATACTTGCTCTGGTTTAACATACCATCTTCAATTGTCAAGATGCTATCTATACATAAATTCACAGTGTATGCATATAGTGTATTGGAAACAATTTCTCCTTTGTGCCTATGGAATGGAATTTCATTGCAGATCCATTTAAGAATCCCATCACAGAAATAAAGCTGGTAAAAACACTTCTGGGTAGACTATGTGGTCCCTTCTATGAAGGGGAGCAATGTGGCTTCTAAATAGAAGGGTTTGGGTATTCCTCACTCCTCCTCCACACAGAAGGCTTTGCTCCATGCAAGACATTACTCAGTATTATTATTTATGTCATATCATATTTTTAGTATTTCACAATGATCAAATGTTGCATACAAGCACAACTGGAATTTTTTAATGGTTATTTTATTCATTTTCTGAATATATATTCCTAAAATGTATTCATTAATTCTGCTCACTTGTTTACTGTTGCATTTTTTTTTTTTTTAAACCTTTCCGTTTAACCCATTGCTGCTTTTTGCTTTTGACAACTAGTGAATGACTCAATGACATCATCTTTTACTTCACTGCATAAGGTAGGTAAGTGAATCAGTCCTGCAGAGAGCTATGTGCAATATAAGTTACATTACTTGAGAAACAGTATAACTATAGTTAAACCAGTTACAGATTAATTTTTTCTGGCAATTTGTGCAAAATGTTTTTTAAAATCAGTCATATTTATTGTAAGAGGTTGAACGACAAGCGATGGGAAGCAGTAAAATTAAGTATATTTCTGTACTTTCTAATATGTGGGAACCTACAATTAAGGAAATATCCATGCATTATCACAAGGGTAAATAAACTTTTAGATAATCTGTAAATTACACAAGACTATAACTAGGTTTTATTATGTTATACCTAAATATGCAATGATCTGCACAAGAAAAAACATAGAAGTATTTTGAATAGATTATCATTTTCCTGTCTGAAGTTTGATTTGTGTTTGTAGAATGCTGAAAGGAAAAAAAAAACCCACAGAATTTAAAAAAATATATTAAAAATACATATAAAAACATTTCCCTGGAATGATTATCAGTGTTTTTTAAAAAGTTGTAGCCTTACCAAAAAAAGGGAGGGGGAGGAATGGGGCAGGAAGGCTTTTAGAAGTAAAACATTATTTTAATTCCACCTATTTTTCAATAATCTGTGTGGCACCATTTTAGCTGATCTCCACTTTTAATGTAAAGTTTAAAAAAAATTCAAGTTGCAAGACAACACTTATTGTATGTTAAATATCAAAGGCTTCATGAAAATATGTTTGATTAAATTATAAAACAGCAAAAGTTAGGTTATTTGCATCTCAACAGAAACAAGACGACACTGACAGAGGTTGTTTTTTTTAAATACTACCCTTCAAGGGTTTCAAAACAATCTTTTCATATTGCACAGTTTTAATATTAATACAGTGTCCAAAATTGCAGCATGCACAAGGTCATAAAAATCATAGAAATTTTCAGTCTTTCGAGATGCTTGAAAGAGAAATTAATTCAGTGCATCAGGTAGGAGTAGTTTGAGAGCTGTTCAATATAAATGCGAGAAGTCCTACTCCTCTTTGTCTCCTCTCACACATTCGTGTGTTCTTCCTATTGTCACAGGTATAGCTATGCCTTACGCAGGGCTGCTAACAGATGCAAGAAGCCACATTTCTTACGTGACAAGTATATATATATGTCTTGGTTATTTCCATTTAAGGGATACTTTCCCCAAGAAGACTCAACTTTCAGAACCAGCAGAACACCTGACAGTGTCTAGGTGAAAGCACACAACTAAATACTGTCCCTCCCAGAGGGGGATTGAAATGTCATTTATGTCATAAGTAGGGGGAAAAAATACGATGGTACTTGTCTAGTCCTTCAGAGATTCTCCGTCTCTCGCTCTCTGTCACACATGTCACTTCACACTTTGGCATAGACTGTTGGAAGAGTTTTCAGGCCTGAGCTGATTCTGAAGGCTATATCATATTATGCTAGTCTCTAAGTATTACCTTTCCTTCACCTATGTATTTAAGAAATAAAATAAGAAGAGTCATATGCTTTACTTCACTTTCACATGGGGAAGTGAACGGGACAAATTTAGCACTTCTGAAAATGTAAGAAAATCCATAATGAATCTGTGGCATAGCAACAGGTTGATCTAATTCAGTCAGAGAAAGGAAGAACTATAAAATAAAGCTGTGCAGACAGAAGCCTGTCACACTAATAATTTTTGTGTTTCTATTTCCCAAATACCATAAATGTTTACGTTCACTCTTTCTAAAATATTCCAGTTGTGGAGAAAAATCTAGTACTTTTGTCTCAACAACTTTTGACACCAAGCTGTGAAAAATCCATCTGCTCTCCCAGCTTTAAGTGCAAAATATTTGTGCATAAATTTCCAGAAGTCCAAAACTAAATTACACTTAATCCTAAATTGAGGTAGCACATTTAACTAAGTTTCTTTCCAAGAATTTCAGAAAGAAACTAAAGAATTCTTAAAATAACGTCTCTATCAGCAAGCTTTAAACATTTAGTGAACGATGGTTGTTTTTTTTTTTTTTTGTCCTCTCTCCATCTTGAGCATTTTAGGAATTCAAAATTTCATCTTTAATTCTTCCTTTTTTACCAAGGAAATACTGTTTAGTCCATGCACCTTTAGGACCTGTGGCATCTATTGCAACATCAATAATGGAATCTGGAGTCATCCACCTCAGAAACACCAAGAAAAGGAAGTTCAGAACAGCAAAAAGAGCAAAAATATAACCAGTCACTGGTCCGCAGTGAGATATTAGCCTGTTGAGTCGGTCATCCATCGATAAAACCAGTTCATTTGCAACCCTCTCATATACCTAAAGGAGAAGATGAAAAGGTAAAAATCTTTAGACAATGTTGCTTCTTCCTCAAAAATCAGACAGTACTTTGTCGTCAGTGTGCAAAATACATTACTTACTCCTAACTATTAGACTGGATGGTTCCACCTAAAAAAGCTTTGTAGATTTTAAATGTTGATTTATGAATACTGTTGTAGAAATTTCATGTATTTACACAATCGTTGAGGAGAAAAATGAAAATATTCGACTTTGTGACAGAACTCAAAAGTATTTTATTAAATAGGAAGACAGTAAATTTAGCTCTCATCTAATACTGTATAGTGGTTTTTCTGAATTACTTCAATTAGCTTCTAATCTCATATTCACACCAGTCAGAGGAAAACAGAGTTTGAACATGCAATTACTACATTTTCAGTACAAAGAAAGATGAACTCATGGATGAGTGGGCAATCTTCTAATCTCTGCTTCTAAACAATAAAACCAATTAGAATAGGATACTGACTTTTTATTTAGAGAAACACTAGTAATTTTTAGTATGGTAAAATTAAATTAATGTGACAATCAAATACATCCTATTAGTGACTTCTTGATATACATATTAGCCACAACAACTAAAAAAGTGGTCCTGTGTTTCACAGAACAGAAACAAATACCTACAATACATATTTCAAAGAGCCTTGAAATATACAAAGAATTGTGTCTCCTTGAGAACTTTACAGATTTCATCCTACAGATGAGTTGATTATGAGCTAACCAACACTTATCCTTTGTATAAAATAAGTTGTATGCAATCCTTTTCCAATTACACTAATATTTTCTTCAGAGTTCGGTTTCGCTTTAAGAAATTGAAAATTTATAGTAAAAAAAAAAGTCAAGTGTGACTTCAAAAGCTTGATAATTTATTTTCATTACATCCACAGTTTATGTATATTTAGTTACATCCACTGGTATTGAGAATGTAGCTATCTTATTTTCTAAACCACTTTTTTGTACGTAACATAATAACCTGTGTCAAGAACTTTTTCCTTTTCATACATCTTATAAAGCATGTTTTCCAGTTATGCCAGGAGAGTTACTTAATATGCAAGACTTTGGAGTAAAAAAATAACTAAAGGCACTATCTGTTCTTCAGAATGCTTATCTATTTTTTGTTATGGCACAAGAAGAATACAAACAGGAAAAAAAAAATCTAGCTGTGGCAGGTGTATTTAGGGGAAAAGCAAGTGTGCTTGACGGGAAGTTCACTGAGTCATTACACAGAGAATGTACATAGTAACGTTTCAAAGAAGCCACTTTTCAGAACTGTACTGAGGAGGGAGGGGAAAAAAAAAAAAAACAAAACTTATACGTACTTTCTCAGTTCTCTCTGCTACGTTCCTCCATGTATAAAAAGTTTTTACTTTATTATGAACAGTTTCTGGAGACGGCAACGTTCCTGATTTGAGCTGAGCAATAGCTTTTTCTAATCCATCACACAAAGATTTCACCGAGGGTTCACATAAAAGAATAAGATTTTCTGGAAGCACCTCAGGAATCCCACCAACTCGCGTACTCACCACCTTTGAAAGAAACAAAACAAATAGCGCATAGGGTGCATAACAACAAAATGCAGTGACGATACTGTTATTACACTGTTTGGATGCAGTACTTGAGAAAAAAAATTCAATTACTAGATGCCACGAAGGCAAAGACTGATACCATGCTTCAGGAGTTTTACCTTCCTAAGAACTGAAGGTGCAGGCCCCAGAAAAGACCTAGCATGGTAGGTTAGCTGTAACTAAGTTCAGAACAATTCTTTGGTAGCACGGTGAAACAGAAGATTTTATCTATCGAGTATTTCATGAGACAGTTACGTTTCCTAAAGGTGTTTGTCACAGCATGCAACTAAATCTGTGTAATCTGATTTTGGACCATAGTCCCTCATGGAAACTGTAATGTCTGCTTGGAGAGGACACTTTTACCTCATCCACCTTCAGTTTCTGGTTTGTAGGCTACTGAACATTTACAACAATTTCTTTAAAAGTTCAGTAATTTTAATATGATTATTATTTTTAAAGGAAAACAAGATGCTATTAAGATTCATGTTACATTATAATCTGCAAACAGTAGGCAACAATAAGCAAATTACAGAACTTTCCCAACTCTAGAGAGGAAAATGGATGATTGGGGGAAGGACTGCAGCAACTAGATAATAACGACTATCAAAGAATAGTGGAAGGGAAAAAAAAAAAAAAATCAGTCTCTCACATTTTCTGTACTTCTTGTATATTAGATACTCTGATCAGTCTTTTTTTTTTTTTAAATAAAGCTTCTTTAGACTATAATACAACAATCTCAGTCCTTTATAGCTGTTGATTTATTTATTTTTTTAAATCGTTAATCTGAGCTGTAGATTAGCCAGCAAAGGCATTATTGTAAATGCTCCAGTGTAACCTCTCTCTCCCTCTTCTCCATCTGGAATCCCAAAATGAGAAGTCAAATATATCCTCAGCTAAAATAGGAAAGTGAATGTCAGCTTTATCCAGGAAGAAAACACTTGTAATACAATGGTTTATCTTGGTAATTCAATATTCCTGACTGGCCAGAGTCAGCCATGCTCATGAACCTTTTTTCTCCACATTCTCATTAAATAGTGTCAAAGTAAACCTTTATGAAAAACAACTCCCCCAAAACTCTGTAAAGGAGTACATACAAAAAAGCATTTTGGAGAGGCAGTCTGGTTAGTTCAGAGAACTGAGAGTTAGCAGATCTACATGTTATTCCCAGCTCTGCACAAGTTTCTTCTGGGAGCTTGAGCAGTTTCGGTTAACACTTCTGTCTCAGCTTCCAGGTGATCTGTAAATGGGGATAATATTTGCTCACCTTTGTAAAGACAGAGCCTCAGATGAAATACAATGTCATCAAGTACATATTACTAAATCATGAACTTTGTTTAAAATGGATACATGCGCTCTATATAGTTAAAGGCTTTACTTACCTGTAAACCACAGCTCGCTGCTTCCACTATTGCCATACAAAAGGCCTCAGTGAGAGAAGTGTTGAGAAAAATATGTCCCTGGACTAGGACATTTCTAACATCCTGGTGTTCCAAGGCTCCTAGGAGACGTACCCTGTATACAAGAAAAAGAATAAAGATAGCCACTAGATATGCACTGTCAACATGCTATGTAATATTACCATATACTGAAAAAATGTATAGTTCCCATACTATGCACATATATAGAGAGAAAAATAACACAGACACCTCTGTTCTAGTTTCTTTACATTTTTGCCAACAATAAAAAAATTCAAGACTCTGCTTTTTATTTTCACACACATATACACACATAACACAAAACTTACAAATATGAAGCTAGGGGAAGGGTTTTTCCTGTTCTGTTTTAATGGCAACTGCTTTCCAAACATTGCTACTATGCTGTCAGAACATTGCTTCATGCAGTTAATAAGATTTGTCATCATTTTCTTTGTTTGGATGTATTATATAAATTTGCAATGTCAGGTCTGATCAATTTCAAAGCCTGAGGGGAAAGAAGTGTTTAGGACATCAATAATCAGGACTTGTTATTTTGAGGAGAGATTGGAAAATCAGAGGAGGGAGAAGGAAGAATAATACTAGCAGGCAATTTTATCTTCCATGCCAGGGGGAAGCAAAGGGAGGAATCATTAGACTGAAGAACAGAACGGGTAACAGAAGATAGAGGCCCTACAGTGAGAGATGCAGAACACTGGATGCAAGAGAAAACCGGAGAGTGTAGGCCTTCGCAGTAGTGGCATTTGTGAGGATGGCTGCAAAGTTTCACAATGGAAGGCTGCTCAGAGCCTCTCCTCCCCACTGAACTGAAAGAAGCAACAAGCAGGGAAATTTCTTGGATAGTGTTCAGGTAGTCACTACCCATTTACACATTTACTTCAAAAGAACTGAAGTAAGTTTTTGTTTGTCCATAGATGTTCCAAAACGCACACTGTGAACCTAGCACTCTAGAACATACAGCAATAACTAGATACAGCTAAGGATATCCTAAGGCTGATGAAGGCTAAATTTCCAACTTTTGGTAGGAGGGAGTAAGGAAAACTGTTTTGTTTTTAAAAGATGCACCCCAAATACTTCAAAAAAAAAAAAAGAAGAAGTAAAAAGGAAATGGAAAATTAAGAACCTTGTATTTGCTGTACAAAATTGTTTTTGAACAACAACTACTCATAAAAATCCCAAAGAAATATATAGACACATATATGTCATAGAAACACTTTGGTAACACAGTAGCACCATGAAAACGCATACTAGATAACTACTATCCTGAAAAGTTTGACCTAAAAATAAAAAAATGCAACAAAGCAGAAATGGCAACAAGAAAGAAGATTCCAGAATTACTAGCAGTCATCCTCATGAGCAGCAGTCACACCAACTAGCTGTCTAACACCATATAGCACTATATGGTAATATAGCAGAGGTAACCTGAACATCACGATTTCAGAGAGGAATATGAATAAACTTATGTCTAATTCAGATTTTCTCTGAATCAGCTGAAGGTTCCCACAGGGTCTATTCATAAGAATCAGCCTGCAGGATCATGGTCCAACTTTAAAGTGATCAATCAGTGTGTGCTGCATCTGCCTTGCCCTCAATGATTCTCATCTCCTCCTCCAGTCTAAGTTTTTTGGATTTCTTTCTTTGGCAGAGAAGAGGGACAGGAGGAGAGTTGCTGCTGTCTTCCCCACCCCTAAAATACATTAAAAGACCATAAACATGCATAGAACAAACCTGTCATGCAGCTGGTATCTTTCCCGGACTTCTTCCAGAACGATTCGTTTTGGTCCTTCTCCTCCAACTAAGAAATGTAAATCTGGATATTTCTGACAGAGCTCAGGAATTATACCACTAAGCAAATCTATACCTAAGAGTATAAAATTTAAAGTAAGTTGTTATTGTATTTCATTTTAGAATGGTAAGGTAGCCTAGTGCTATAAGTCTATTTGGGAGGAAGGGAAAGGAGAGGAAAAAAAAAAAAAAGCCATGGTCTCAGAAGGACAGCTGTATTGCTGGACATAAAATTATGAAAAAAGGCAAATTCTAATCTATTAGGAGACAAATGTGGAAGGAAAAAAACCACTCAAGTTCTTGTTGCTTGATTAAAAACAATTGTAAAAACATTCTTAATAGAATGCATAGTTTGGGCCCTAAACTTGGTTCCCAGTATAAGCCAAACCCTCCATTTTACAATGGCAAAATCTTCAGTTTTTCAAGATCTTCATTGGAAGACATAGACCTCAAAACCCCAAGTGTGCAGACTGAAATTTCTTCTTCTTGAATGCATAGATAGAAAAATTCAGAATCATCACCTCACAAAATAGGGAAATTCCCATTTCACAGTTAATCCATACCACAGATATGGATATCAAAAAAACAAAGTAAACTTACATTTCGGCCCCCATTACCTTTTCTGTAAACAAGTCTGCTGACAACAACAATCGTTATTGTACTATCATCCCTTCTTGATGGGTCTGGAGTGAAGTCGGTGGGGTCTACAGCATTGGGAATGACAGAGACTATCTGAGGATCCAGAGCTGCTCTCAGCACTGTGTTCTCCTTACTTGTATAAGAGACACAGATTATGTGATTTGTATCACAGAGGGACACAGTCAGAAGTTTGTTGGTTAGCACCGAGCTGACATCTGCAAACCCAAAGAGAGAGTGGTCCGTGAACACCGTCCGCAGGCCCATGGTCTTGGCGTGGAAGAGCGCGTCGTGGGCCATGGCAGAGAAAGAGCTGTGGGCATGGACGATGGTGACCCTCTCTCGCACAAGGATGTACCTGAGCAGAGGCAGGCTGTGGAAGAGC